ACATCACTATTAAGTCACAACTTTTCCTGTTTTTGTTCATTCCCAAGATCATAATACATTAATGTCAACCTCACAATATAAAACATTTTTGCAAACTTAAAAAAGTCCCACAGACTTACAAATTCAACAACCACTTTCAAAATTTAGTTTCTTTTTCTTTCTTTTCTTTTCTTTCTTTCTTTTCTTTTCTTTTTTTCTTTTCTTTTCTTTTCTTTTTTTTATTTTTGAGACAGGGTTTCTCTGTGTAGCTTTGGAGCCTATCCTGGCACTCGCTCTGTAGACCAGACTGGCCTTGAACTCACAGAGATCCACCTGCCTCTGCCTCCCAAGTGCTGGGATTAAACACCCAGCAAAACTTAGTTTCTTTAACGCTCCAAAATCTCGTTTAAAGTCTAAGATCTTTAGTTTCTCAACTGTGGGCTCCTGTAAAATTGAAAACAAGCTAAATACTTCCCTATTTCAAAACGGAAGAACCAGGGTGCAGTCAGCAACCTGGACAAAACAAAACCAAACTCCAACTGTGTAAATAACTGAATGTTCAATAACTGGAATTCACACAGGACCTCTGGGTTCCTCTAAGAGGCTTGGGTCACTTCTGCTCCACCCTCTGCAGCACACACAGCCTGTCTTCTAAGTTGGGGAAGGCTCCATTCCTCTGCTGCTGCTGTTTTGGGCGGCCATCCCATGGCACTGACATCCCATTCTGCCCACACTGAGGCTGCACCTCCACCGACGGCCTCTCCTGGCCTCTCACAGTGCCAGGCCTCAGCTGCTCTCCTTGACTCCCTCATGCCTTTAAAACGAGCACCACCTGGGTGATGCTTACACATTACAAAGTCCCGCTGCCAGCATGAGGTGCATACACCTTGGGCTTCTCTATACACAGCTTCTGTGTGCTGACTCTTAGAAAACACTTCCCAGAAGATTTCACCTCAGCGAAGCTGGTCTCTTCTCCATCACAGCCGACTCTGCAGCCCCTGCTGAGAAGAACTAGGGAATCTTACTTCCAATATCAAATATCCCCCACAGTCTTGTTGTTGTTTTGTTTTTGTTGAAATAGGGTCTCTCTATAGTCTTTGTCTTCTTGGAACTCACTCTGTAGAGCAGGCTGGCCTTGAACTCACAGAACCCCACCTGCCTCTGCCTGGGACTAAAGGTGTGTATCATCAACCCAGGAAGCCCTGGTTGTTTTTAAGGGGCTCTCAACTCTGTAGCTTCACAAGTCAGGCCTCCATTACCAGCCCTGTTCCTAGCACTCTGATCCCCAGGCTCCCACAGACAGCCCACTGAGCTCTGAGTATTCAAAGGTCAGTTGCCACCACAATCGTCCCCAAAATCCTGCCACCTCAGGGTTTCTTTTTTTTTCAGATTTTTTTATTTAAATTAGAAGCAAGATTGTTTTACATGACAATCCCAGTTCCCTCTCCCTCCCGTCCTCCCCTTCCACCCCCCCCAACTAGAACCCTACTTATCACATAACCTTTCTTCTATTCTTCACCTGACTCAACCTTTCTGCTCCCTCATGTCCTCTGCATCCCTCCTCTTCTCCCCTTCTCATTCTCCTAGCTCCCGCCTCCCTCTTCCCGTGCTCTCAATTTGCTCAGGGGATGGTGACCCTTTCCCCTTCTCCAGGGGACCATGTCTGTCTGTTAGTGTTCACCTTGTTTACTAGTTTCTCTGGCAGTGTGGATTGTAGGCTGGTAATCCTTTACTCTATGTCTAAAATCCGCATATGAGTGACTACATGCCATGTTTGTCTTTTGTGATTGGGTTACCTCGCTCAGAATGGTTTCTTCTAGTTCCACCCATTTTCCTGCAAATTTCAAGATTCCATTGTTTTTTTTCTGTTGAGTACTCCATTGTGTAAATGTACCACATTTTCTCCATCCATTCTTTGGCTGAGGGGCATATAGGCTGCTTCCAGTTTCTGGCTATTACAATTAATGCTGCTATGAACATGGTTGAACAGATGTCCTTATTACATGAATGTGCTTCTTTTGGGTATATGCCCAAAAGTGGAATTGCTGCATCTTGTGGTAGACTCATTCCCATTTTCTTGAGGAGTCGCCATAACTGATTTCCAAAGTGGCTGTACAAGTTGGCACTCCCACCAACAGTGGAGAAGTGTTCCCCTTTCTCCACATCCTCTCCAGCATAAACTCTCATTGGTGTTTTTGATTTTAGCCATTCTGACAGGAGTAAGATGGTATCTCAGAGTTGTTTTGATTTGCATTTCCCTGATGGCTAAGGATGTTGCACAATTTCTTATGTGTCTTTCAGCCATTTTAGATTCCTCTATTGAGAATTGTCTATTTAGTTCTGTACCCCAGTTTTTAATTGGATTGTTTGGTGTTTTGGAGAATAGCTTCTTGAGTTCTTTGTATATTTTGGAGATCAGTTCTCTGTCAGATGTGGGGTTGGTGAATATCTTTTCCCAGTCTGTGGGCTGCTGTTTTGTCTTGCTGATTGTGTCCTTTGCCTTACAGAAGCTTCTCAGTTTCAGGAGGTCCCATTTATCAATTGTTGATCTCAGTGTCTGTGCTACTGATGTAATGTTCAGGAAGCAGTCTCCTGTGCCAATTAATTCAAGGGTATTTCCCACTTTGTCTTCTAATATCACCTCAGGATTTCTATTGCTGTGATAAAACACCATGACCAAAAGCAACTTGGAGAGGAAAGAGTTTGTTTTAGCTTATACTTCCAGGTCATAGTTCATCATTTGTAGCACGAACTCTAGTTGGTCTTAGTGATAAAAACCCTTAGTCAGGTATTAGGGTTTAAGCTGAGGATCAGAAAAGTAAAGCAGCCAGCCACTAGAGAGTTCTTACCGCTACCAAGGCTAAAACCAAAGATGAGTGATCCTGTCTTCAGAGTGACTGCAGACTGCAATGCTCTCCACCAAACTTCAGACTCCCTGAGACTGCACTGAACTCCTGCCTTATATTCCTCTAGTGCTGGGATTAAAAGTATATCATCCCAAATGCTGGGATCAAAGGTGAGAGCTCTGTTTTTCTTTTAGACTGATTCACTCTCATGAAGGCCAGGGTGGCCTTGAACTCACAGAGATCCATCTGCCTCTGTCTCCCAAGTGTTGGATTTAAAGGTGTGGCCACCACTGCATGTCCTCTATGGCTAACTAGTGGTTTACTGTGTGTGTGGTTAACTAGTGCCTTAGCTCTTAACTAGTTATGTGGCTAACTAACAGCTTAGCTCTGCACTCTGATCTTCAGGCAAGCTTTATTTATTATATTACAAACAAAATGTCACTATAATCATTGAGGGAAGTCAGGGCAGGAACCTGGAGGCAGGAGCTGATGCAGAGGCCACGGAGGATGCTGTTTACTGGCTTGCTCGGCCTGCTGGTACAGTCTGCAGTGAACTGGGCCCTCTCACAAGCCAATCTGTTGGGGGTATTTTCTCCATTGAGGTGCCCTCTTCCAAAATGACTCTAACTTGTATCAAAATGACATAATACTGTCCAGCACAGACCAAAAGAGACTAGAGAATACTTCCGGGCATATCCTGTGTGATGGGTTACTCCAGGCTGCTGAGTCATTTGCATGGTTCCAGGAATGGACCTGAGCGGGGCAACATCGAAGGAGTGAAGAAAGGACAAACACAGACATGAGGGATACCTGGGGTCAGGTGGTCTGGGCTGTCAGCACCTAGGTAGCTCAGAATGTTGGTTGTACAGAGTTGAACAGAGAGGTGGGGTTATTGCCTACCGAGGAAGGAGGCAGCCTGTTACAGACAGATAAGCAAGGAGGTGGGGCTTATGTACTCAGAGGGATCTGGAAGGCAGGTTTATTTAATTTCCACAAGAGCAGTCCTCCAGAACTCAGGGGAAGAATGGAGGATGTTTTCTGTACACCCTGTCAGCATCATGCATGGAGCAGACAAGAAGGCTCTATCGTTTCCCTCAGTAGCTGAGGCTCTGGAGTCCTTGCCATGAAGCCCATGCTTCTGTCAACAACACTCATCCCCTCAGCATCTCATACACTCGGGCTTCCTCTGTAGCGGTATTCCTGAGGCAGGTGGATGACTGGCCCCAGGGGCAGGGTGGGTGTTTCAGCAGTACTTCCCTGGAAACCCTGCTTAGGGAAGTAGTGTGGCGGAGCCCTGGGGTTCTGTGGTAACAGGACTCCCAGCCCTGCATGAGGTCATTGATGTTGAGAAGGGGGGCTGGTGCCTCCTGAGCACCCCTGAGCCCTTGGAATCTGGGAGAGTGTGTGATGAAGTTCTGGTCCAGGCCACAGACTTGGGGACAAAGTGGGTGGTATCTGGAAACCCCTCCCCAAGATGGACACTACCTGGGCACACCCATACCCACTGAGGTTCATGCATGCATGTACTAATGGATGATACACACTGTGGTTGCGTGGGGGTGTGTGTGTGTGTGTGTGTGTGTGTGTGTGTGTGTGTGTGTGTGTGTGTGTGTGTGATTGCATACACATCAGGAAATGCATGTGTGCATGTCCCTGCATGCTCACAGTCACAGATAAGAACATCTACACCAGCATGCACACATGTATGAACCTGTCCATGCCTTGCATGCCCACCCACAGTCATGCATCTGCACCCGTACGCATGAATTAAAGCATGCACACAGAGATATGTGCTTGCATGTGTATCTGTATACGCACGTGTTGGAAGTTTGCACGGAACCCACAGAAGCGCTTCTGAGGGGGAACAGAACCACCAAACTGGTGAACAGGGGCTGCCCCGTCCATCTCCACCTGAGTCACATTTTCTGGAAAGTGTGAGCGATGGCGTGAGTGAGAGTGAGCTGGGGGCCGGGCCTTCTGGGGGCACAGAAAGAAGAGGAGGTGCGTGGGGAAAGCAGAGACACCAAACCTCGCCTTTAAAGTGAGCCCCGGGGCCACAGGAGCCTTTTGCAGTTTGCAAAGCCCTAGCATTGGGCAATTGTGGTTTCCTCCGGAGCGGAGGAACTCGGGCTTGCCGGCCCCGTCCCTGGGCTTCTGGGCCTCAGCTGCTCTGGCATGGAGAGCGTGGTACAGCCTTCAGTGTTTGTGGTGGACGGACAGACGGACATCCCATTCAGGCGACTGGGACAGAACCGCAGGAGACAGCGCTGCGGCATTGCCCAAGTCAACCTGGCCCTGATGTTGCTGCTGGGTGCTGGGCTGGCTACGCAGGGCTGGTTCCTACTGAAGCTGCATCAGCGTGTTGGGGACATAGCTCGCCTGCCCGTAAGTAGGGCTTGGGGGACCAGTGTCTGTCTCTTTATGGCTGTGTATGCGTGCCAGGCAGAGACTAGACCCCAGGGCTTCGGAACCTGTCTTTTCATCTGTATGTGGGGATCTGATAGAGGGATATGAGTGTGCTGTGCCCAGCAGCTTCCCTGGGATTCACCTACATGGCTATTGTTACCAACCAGACCCTTGTCCTCATCACTGGCTTCATGGTTATCCTGGTTCACTCTCGGATGGTGATAGGCTGGCTCTCTGTCCCTTTCAGACAAGCCATGGGTGTATGTGTCTGTGTGCCACACCTGGTCACTCATGTAAACAATGTTTCTGCCGTCTTGTCCTTTGTTTACTTGCTACTTTTTTTTAATTACCTTCACTTACTTAGTGTGTGGATGTGAGTGGGTGTGTTTGTGTGGCAGCATGTATGTGGGGACCTTTGTGGAGTCAGTTCTGTGTCTCCCTTTTGTGGGTGATGGGGATTGAACTCAGGTAGCCAGGCTGGGCAGCAAGCACTTTTACCCCATGAGCCCTCTCACTGGCCTTCAAATGATTTTTTTTTTAAAGATATGTGAATATTCTAAAAACCTTAAAAACAATTCTGAAACACTTCTAGTCTCAAGTGTTTCAGACACTCAACTTTCACGAGATCTCGGCTGGATTCTGTGGCACACACATATCATCCCAGCTCTTGCGAGGGAGAGGCAGAAGGCTCGAGGATTTCAAGGTCATCCTAGGCTGCTTAGCTAGTTTAAGGCCAGCCTGGACTACATGACAGCCTATCTTGGAAACAAAACAGATCTGATTAGGTGTGTGTGTGTGTTGTGTGCACATGCGGCCCTATATAAGTGCCCATGGGTGGTGTCTGTGACCATGGCTAGACAGTGTGCCTGTGTGACTCTGGGTGTGCCCTTGTCCTCACCAAGCACCCTGTCTGCATTTCAGGATACAGACACAGACTCCTGGGAGAAGCTGACACAAGGTGAGTTTGAACCCCAGGTAGAATGGCTCCCACTCTTCACCCCCACACCCTGGGATCACCCAATGTGACTTTACAGAGCCCCAAAGGTGTCCTCCCCCAGGACTGAAGAAGCATAAGTCTGGGTCACTCCGGAAGGGGCAGAACCTGACACCTACAGGTGGCCACAATGACCCTGTGTTTCTCTAACCTCTGACTCTCTTCCCCAGAGCGGAGGTCTCACAAGGCCAACCCAGCAGCACATCTCACAGGTGAGGGGACCCTGGGTCTTCCCATGGGGCAGGGGCTTGGGGTGTCTCGGGAGACACAGGTCTTCAGAATAAGTCAGAGCCACTATTTATACATTCATTCAGTGTGGTTCTTTTTAACATTTGCTTCTTTTTATTTATTTATTTATTCATTTATTTATTTATTATTGCTCACACACATGCACATGCCACAGTGTGGAGGCCAGAGGATCACTCTCGGGACATTCCTTCTTTCTGCCTTGTGGCCTCCAGGGATTGACCTGCAGTCATCAGGCGTGGCTCCTGATACCTTTGCTCTCTGAGCCATCTTGCTGGTCTGGTTCATTCGATGTTTACTGACAAGTGACCCAGAAAGCACAGCCCCTGAGGGCTAGTTAAAGTCACCCTTCTACCTGCTAGTCTTGGCACTTTCCCAAGGTCCCAGGGGATGCTGGGACACAGACCTATCACACCCTGTATTTTTTTAGACAGGGTTTCTCTATGTAGCCTGGCCTGTCTTGGAACTCACTCTGCAGACCAGGCTGGCCTTGAACTCACAGAGATCCACCTGCCTCTGCCTCCTGAGTGCTGGGATTAAAGGTGTGTGCCACCACATCCAGCTGTGTATACTATAATTTTTCTTGTGCTACCATACCATAGACAGCTTGATTTTTTATCCGACACAGTAAGAAATTATTCAGAATAGGCACAAAATATGCTATAAGCAAAAACTATTTAAAACGTGAAAGGGAGATGGCGATGGCTCAGTGCCCAAAGTGCTCCCACACAAGTGTGAGTCTAAATCCCAGCACCCCACTCCTGTGACACCAATGGAGGCAAAGACAGGAAGGTCCCTGGGACTCGCTGGCCAGCAGCCTCGACAAACAGGGGATCCTGGTTCCAGGTTCACTGAGAGACTCTGCCTCAAAGATAAGATGGCCAGAAACTGAAGCTGAGAAAGTTGCCTGGTGTTGACTTCTGAACACACACACACACACACACACACACACACACACACACACACTCACACACACACACACTCACACACAGACACAATCACAAACACACACACAAGACATACACTCACACACAGAGACACACTCACATACTCACACACACTCACACAGACACACACTCAACACACACTCACACAGAAACACACTCGCACACTCACATACACAGACACACAGAGACACACACTCACACACACACACTCACACACTCACACACTCATACACTCATACACTCACACACACTTTTTGAGACAGGACCTCATGTAGCCTACACTGGCCTTGACCTGCTCATGGAGCTGAGGATGACCTTGAACTCCTGGTCTTCCTGTCTCCACCTCTCTGGGATGACTCCCACATCTGGTTTACTCTGCACTGGGGATGGAGCCCAGGGCTTCCTGCATGCTGGGCAAGTGTTCTGCCTCCTGAGCCCCACCTCATTTTTAAATGTTGACACTTCCCTAGGAAACTCAAGTACCCTGTGCCTTGGTTTCCTCTTTGGTATTCAATTGGCTTTGCTCGTCTCTGTGTCAGTTTCTCCCTCTGCAGGAGGAGGTGGGAATGAAATGAGTTAGGATGTATTATAACCAAATAACTTTGCTCCCCTGCACCTCAGTTTCCCCCATCTGCAAGATGGGAATGGACTGAGTCAGGCCAGACAAGCAACCTACTATGACAGCAAGAGAGAGGCACCGTAACTACTGTAAGGTCACTCAGAAAGGATGGGCACAATACTAACTGTGCTGCTGACCAGTTCTCTCTTTCTCCCTCCCTCCCAGGGGCCAACGCCAGCTTGATAGGCAAGGGTGGACCTCTGCTATGGGAGACTCAACTTGGCCTGGCCTTCTTGAGGGGCCTAGAGTATCACAATGGGGCCCTGGTGACTACGGAAGCCGGATACTACTATGTGTACTCAAAAGTGCAGTTGAGCGGTGTGGGCTGCCCCCAGGGCCTGGCCAATGGCCTCCCCATCACCCACGGACTGTATAAGCGCACATCCCGCTACCCCAAGGAGCTAGAACTGCTGGTCAGCCGGCGGTCACCCTGCGGCCGAGCCAACAGCTCCCGGGTCTGGTGGGACAGCAGCTTCCTGGGTGGAGTGGTACATCTGGAGGCCGGGGAGGAGGTTGTGGTCCGTGTGCCTGGGGACCGTCTGGTCAGACCCCGAGATGGCACCAGGTCCTACTTCGGAGCATTCATGATCTGAAGGCTACAGTGACAATGGATTGCAAGGAGGGACCTCTCCGGGACAGACCTCAAAGCCAGCAAGCAGGGATCTTGAAGTTCCTCTTAAGGACCCCCACATTCTCCAGGTGGAATGTTCAGGGACCATGTTGACTGTTGACCTATCTTGGGAAATCTTCAAATTGGAGACTTGGGGTGTGGAGCCCAGGAACGTGGGGTCAGCCCATTTGCCTGATATTCAGGAAAAAAGAATAAAGCCGAGATATTTATGCATCTGATGCAGACAGCGTGGACTTGGGGGTTTTGGGCTTATGCGCTGGAGGCTGGAGACGAGACCTCACCAGGGTGTCAGGGGAATTATATTACTGAGACCCTGTGGGGAGCATCTTGGGCTCAAGAGTCACTGCCACACACTGGCTTCTCCCACCATTGGTCAGCTGGCTGTGACTGGCTCCTGGGCACATGAATCCTTCCGAAATACTCTGATGGGATCAGCCCAAGGCACTGCTGCAACAGACACTCCAGATATGGTTGGTACGGGAAAGTAAGGGAGGGAAGGAGGGAATGCCGAAGAGAAGGAAAGCCAAAAAGGCAGAAAGAGAGAAGGAATAAAGAGGGGAGAAGGAATATGACACCCTCCAGGGCATTTTATCAAACACACTTAGAACAAAAGGGTAGAGAGCTTGTGGCTCCATCATGGAGATTTGAGTTCAAATCCCCAAACCCATATAGAGACAGATCTGGTGGTGGACACAGGCAATCCCATCAGTGGGGAAGGGGAGGCAGGAGGACCTTTGGGGCTCCCTAGCCAGGCAGTCCAGCCGAATTGGTGAGCTCGAGGTTCAGGGAGAGACCTCCTCAAAGGAGGTGGAGAGCTCCTGAAGATGCCATCTGTGGCTGTCCTCTGGCCTCTACATGCAGGACACATGCAGAATAAGTAAAATAAAATAAACAGTCTTAAATAATAGTATTTGAGAGGCTCTTGATATGTATGAACTGTTTGTCTGGTTCTGTTTGTTCATTTGTTTCAAGGCCAGGTCTCAAGTAGCCCGGGCTGGCCTTGAGCTCTTGGTCCTCCTGCCTCCATCTTCTAAGTTCCGGGTGGAGAGGAGTGCACCACCATACCTGAATAAGCACCTTGTATAGAAGATTATATCTTCTTTAATATAAAGAAGATATAATCTTATATATATAATATATATGATATAATCTGCATATATATATATATATATATATATATATATATATATATATATATT